CCGAATCATTGAACTCGCTCCACAGTTCTGGAATACACGTTCTTCGTAAGTTTCCGCGACATCCTGAGCGGTGGTTGAATTCATCGGTTTGCACATCACATATCCAGAAAACATATCCTGGAATAGCAGCAAAATGTATTCGCTCGGTCGGACTTCGGCATGTGCGTCACGAAGTCCATCGAAACCACTTTGAAAGGTTGTCGGGGTTCAATATTCCCGGGCGATGGTCCAGTGTGTGGAGGGTTTCCTTTTACACTCGCGCAGTCAACGCATTCCTTCACAAAGGGTTCTACATCCGCATACATGCCGGGCCAATAGAATTCTGAGCATAACCGCTTATGGGTCCTGGTGATGCCTTGGTGACCTCCTTGGAATTCTTCGTGACCATAATGTAAGACATCGTCTCTAAGTGCTTTTGGAACGACGAGTCGAGGTTCATCCTGAACGTCACGCGGGCGATCACGGGTCGTGCGAGCTAGTCGTTACAGTGCATCCCTAGTGTCACGTACAAATAGATCGGCAACCTTGGCAATCTTTCTCAGTTATCTGGGCGAAAACTTCTCGAGATCCTCCTTCATAAAGTCTTTGATCTCCGACAGGTACTCATCTGCATCCTGATGCACTCGGATGCGTCGCCATCGTTCAGCTTGGAATTTCAAAGGGTCCATAGGTCGGTTTCTCGAAGTGGATTCGACTTGGCTTCTGGAACGCCTTACTACTGCGAGCACGCGGGCTGATTTTGTCAGTGGAGCTGACTCCGCAGTAGGCGGTGTCTGACGGTGTTTCCCCAGAAGTTGGACCAACTCCAGATTTCAACTCGGAGTCTTCCACTTTCATGAGTTTCTCCGCAATCTTTGACACGTGCTCCAAATGCGCGATATCGGCTGGGTCCGTAACGTCCCATGACTCATCCAGAATCAAAGTCTTCGTGGCCAAATAATCGGCGGTCTGATTGTATTCCCGCTTCAGATGTACCAGACGTAAGGATCCGAATTTCTCTTTCAATAACTCAACTTTGGCAAAATGCGTTTGGAGATGTGGCTGATTGCAGTTGATCAGTCCTTGAACCTG